TTCTCTCCTACTTCTTTCATCAAGTAGAAAAAAGAAACTTAGGAATAAAACCTACCACTTCCCTCTGAATACAAGATACAAGCTGCTCCTTTGTATTTCTCCGTGGTTTTGCTTTATTTATGTCTAAGTTTGAAGAACTGGCTGGGTCCCATTACTGCTGTGTCCAGAAGTGGTTGGATTCCTTTCTCTTTATTCAGGCATGGTTATTGATTCTTTGACAATGTTTAATATGAAAAGTTACAGATCTCTGTGCATCTACCATAAATACCTCAAAAGTGGGCACATGGTAATGGACGTGAGGAGGAAGTCCTTGTGTCACTGTGGCTCAGCCACCAGACCATTGCTGTTTGAGAGAAGACATGTCGCAGGTTTGAACCTGTACACCATGGATTCAAACAAGCCTTAAAAAATACTTTGTGGTTTTAAAAAGATCTTGGTCAACAGTCAAATGTCTCCTTTAAGTGCCGTGTTCACAGAGTACTGCCGCTCCTGGTGATGTAACCCATACAACAAAATAGAAGTGCCCACACATTTGTACCAGCCGGCACTTATTTTTGTAGGAGTCCACTTATTTGGGGGAACTGTTATAGCACCGGCGAGTCCAGTTGGAAATTTCCATCTGCTTACCTCTCTGCTCCTGTGTCCCCGCCATCGCACTGGTGTCCTCTCAGACCAGCCTCCCTATTCCTTCTGCATCCTAGCAGCGCCCACTGAAACCCCTTCCTCGCATGCTCCCCACAGCTGCCAGGTTCATCAGTTCATACTTTCTGCATAAAACTCTGAAATGCTTTTTTTTCCCATCAGTTAGGGTTTGATCAGGGAAGGAAAACAACTAAGCAAAACGGACTGAGGGATTTGTTATAGGATTAGAGCTTGCACAGTTGTTGTGGAAGAGAGCTGAAAACTGTCACTGCATAGAAACTTCCTTTCTTTAATATGATCATTTCTCCTTGCTTTCCTTCTGATTCTAACTGGCCTCAGCACCCTGGCTCACCTGCCTCCTTCTCCCTTCCATGTCCACTCCTTTATAATCACTAAGCCCTCAGGACAATGAGGTTCCGATCAGCTATTTATGTCTTAGGGACAAAGCCTCAGGTCTGCTGACTCCAGAGACAGAGCTAGAGATGACATCCAGGCCTCAGCTGTGTTTCAGCTCCAGGCCCAGAGAAGCTATGAAAGCAGACAAACAATGCCATGGCTGACATTAGGACCATACGCACCAATCAACTACCTGTACCCTAGTGCTGACCAATCAGTACAGACTGTGACCCTAACTCCCTAGTCGCCATGATTAATGATTTTCTCCTGTAGAACCCATCCACTGGAGGCCATCGGGGACCCAGGCTTTTGAGCAGTAGCTCACCTGTGTCTCTGGGGTGGGCCACTTCATAAAAATAAACCCTTACTTTCTTTGCTGTGAACTCCTGTCTCGTTGAGTTAATGCTCTCAGGCAACCAGACCCCTTTAATCCAGTAACAAAACCAATTTACCAAACATCAACTTGCTAATTTGACCACTGCATCTGAAACTGTGAAGCGGGGTCCTCTAACCCAGTCTTGGGCTGGATGCAGCAGAGTTGGGGGCAGGAAAGGAGCGCATGTCAGTGACACAGGGAGGGCAGCAGACTGCACTGGAGAGAAACCCCACTCATTCCAATGTAAAACATTCAGGAAGTCCTTCCTGCACCCCCTCCAAAAATGTAAAATGTAATTGAAATGGGTATTCAACCCAAATAGACATAAAAATCTTCAGCATAATGGCCAGGATGAAATCTCAGTAAAACTATAGTTGCCCCAAGCTACCACACCCACCAGCAAATCTCCAAGATTTGGCAAATTGGTTATGTATTTTATAAAAGTGAATTTATGCACATAGTCTCAGAAATAACAGATCCTACATATTGTCTCTGGTTTTCAGCTCCATGCTGTTGTACTGTTTTCTGATTCTCTTCTCTTCTTTTTTTTGGTTCTTTTTTTCTTTAAAGTTGTGTGCTCTTTTTCGATGGTATGCCCACTTGAATTAGAAGGGCTATTTCATTTCACCAGGCTGTACTAGTAATTGCAGCCTATCCTCAGTCTCTCCATCTGCTCAGATTTCATATTTGAAGTAAAACCGTGGCAAACGTGTTTATAGTTCCAGTTACCCCTTTTCTACCACCGTCTGTGTGTGCTAATGCTGAACAAAGCTTCCCACGGATTTCCCACAGAATGCCCGAAGCCCGCTTTTTTAGCTGGGGGGGGTGGGGGGGGGGGCAGACCTGTCTGCACAGCTGGGCCCTGCAGCTCTCATTGACCATTACTGTTCCTGTTCTGGGAGATGCATCCCTGCAACCAGAGGCCATCAGCAGCCCTTGGCCTGTGCCCTGAGAAGAGAACCAGTTCTGGGCTGCATGTGGTACAAAGGGTGCTTCCTAGCAGCACAGTAGCTGGGAGTTCTACCAACATATCCCATTAAAAGACACATTCCAGTTTAGAGCTGTGGTGCCTGCAGTTTGTTTTCTGATCTTTTCCTGTCTTTTAAGTATAGGTTACATTGTGTCTTATCACAGAGCACCTACTAGTCCTGTCTGAGAGTGTTTGGAGGAACTTCCCAGAAGAGATGGCATTTCTTAAGTGATTTTTTTTTCTCACAAAGACTCACAGCTTGTGAGCATGATCCTTACCAAAATTACTCTTTCAAATTTGTATCGATTAAATATGTAGTACTCTTCTAATAAAAGTGATGGTGTTTTATCAATTTGTCCAAGTTTCTGGCCTCCTGTTACTCTCTAGGAACACATACATGTGTTAGACCATCACCCAGATGGAAGGGAAGAGCAAATGAACCTCCATGGAAGACTGAATTGATTATTAATGGTACCGTGTAGCTAACTGAATGAACTAGCTACACAGTCTTTGCTCTCAGGCACAGGGAGTAGGACATTATTGAACAGCGAGTTCCTAGACACCATCAATGGAATATACGGCCAGTGTGGTGACTGGCAGCTACCCAGTAATTGTCTAAACAGAATGCCATCATCTTTCATCATGGCTCCATGAGAATTATTTAGATACTGGAAGCTCAGCTTGCTGAAGACCAGTGTCAACCAAAAACAAATGGCCATGCTTTAGACCCACAAGTTCTAAAGTTCTCTGTCAAATGGTCTAAATCAATCATTTACAGATTGTAGGCTGATAGGTACCAAGCACCTGAGTTCCAGATAGTTGCAGAGGCTGGATGTAAATCGGGCTCTGGCTCAGTCCTCCCTTTTCTCCAACCCTGACTTGTCTTCACCTTGCCTTATGTATGCACTGTGCCCATTACAAATTTATCCTATACTCATTGTGCACCCAAATGATCCCCTCTCTAATCAGTCACTCTCTGAAAAGAAACAACCTAGGAGACCTGTAATTGTTCCTAGAACTAGCAAAACAAAGCTACTCTTTGCCAAATGTGTGCTGTGTGCCAAACACTTATAGGCCTTTCTGCCTGTGGTATCAAATTTAATACTTTTTTACAAGACTTTATTTATTTATTTTTAGAGAGAAGGGAAGAGAGGGAGAAAAAAGGGAGAGAAACATTGATCAGTTGCCTCGTGAACATGCCCCAACCCCAACTGGGACCAAACCCACCACCCAGGCATATGCTCTGACCGGCTACCTTTCGCTTTGTGGGACGATGCCCAACCAACTGAGCTACACTGTTCAGGGCTCTACTTCAGTTCTTAGGAAAGCCTCTGAAATGTGTATTGTTCTTTTAATTTACAGATGAAAAAACTGATGCTCAGAAAGTCAGAGAAGGCCTTAAGAAGGATGTGGTGAAAGTTTTTTAACTTTCAGAATTAAAGTTTTTTAATTTTCAGAATTTCAGAATGTCTTTTAAATACACAGTTTGAGAGCTTCCAAAGGCTGTCTTTGGAAGCTCTCTTTGCTCCGGTTCCCAGCTGGCATTTTCACTGTTCCCTGAATGTGTCTGGTTGGTGTCCATGTGCAAGGAGCACCGTGTCTGGCACAGTCCATTGGCTTTGCTCTTGGCCTCCACTTTCGGTACTACCTTTTCCTTTCCTAGTGAAATCCCTCCTTTTAGGAAAGGTACTTTCAAATGGAAGTGCTGGGACAGAGGTCCCTGCTGTTGCTGACAGAAACTTGGTGAAAACTTGATTTATGTTACAATAAGTAAATAGAGGATAAATGAAGAGGCGTTTACTCGGTCTAGAGAGAGCACACTTCAGTTTCGGTAAATCATAGTGACTTTCATTATGACTAAGGCCTTTGAATTTCATTTTGGAAATGTATTTCTGATTGTATGCCTTAGACAAAACAAAACATCAAGAGTGACGAGGTTTGTTTGCTTTTCCTTTTTTTTTTCCATTATTGAACCTACATGTGCTCCCCACAGTTGTCTTTTGGGGAAGAATCTGTGAAATGGTCAATATCAGAGATTTTATCTTATTCCTCTTTCTAGCTTCAGTTTCTGGCATGTGGTGGACCTTTAATGTGAGTTTGTTCTGTTGGACAGTGAGTGAATAATAGACTGATCAGTAGCCCCAGAATATTTAATTTAGCTGAAAAATGACAAATTAAACAGTTCTGATACATGATGGCTTGTTTTGATATAACTTATTGATTATGAAGATTTTTTAAATGGAGATTATCATTAAATTATCCAAGCAAGCAGAACTATGACTAACGAGATAAAATTAAACAAAAGAAAAATGTGAATTGAATATCATGAAATATTTCCAGTAGATGAGGTCAGGATTTAATCAAGCAGAAGGGTCCCAGTGGAAGTGGTCAGGGGACATTTAACACCATGCATGTCACTTAGAGCTGCAGTGAACTTACACAATTTACAAGGGACTGACCCTGACTTTGGCAGGATGATGAGTGAGATCATATTTCTAGTTTCACTGATTTCTTACACAGGTATATATTCACAGCCTCCCATCCCCTATGGAAAGAATTTGTCTATGTGTTAAATTAAACTTTCTGATTATAGCTTGCTTGCTTTCTTTCTTCCAGAAAACACTCTTTTTAGAGCATCTCCTGGCGCCCTCGGAAATGTCTTCCTTAAGTGGCAAAGTCCAAACTGTTTTGGGCCCAGTGGAGCCAAACAAACTGGGCCGCACCCTGACCCATGAACATTTGACAATGGCATTTGATTGCTGTTACTATCCACCTCCTCCATCTCACGAAGCTATCTCTAAGGAAACTATTATGCTGAAAAATTTGTTCTGGATTCAGAAAAACCCTTATTCCCATAAAGAGAATCTTCAGTTGAATCAGGAGACGGAAGCAATCAAAGAAGAACTGTTGTACTTTAAAGCTAAAGGTGGGGGGGCTTTGGTGGAAAACACGACCACTGGGATCAGCCGCGATGTGCAGACTTTGAAGTGGCTGGCAGAAGAGACTGGCGTCCATATCATATCAGGAGCTGGGTTTTATGTGGATGCAACTCACTCTTCAGAGACCAAAGCCATGTCAGTGGAGCAGGTAAAAAGCCCTAGGTTTTCTGACAATGTTTGCATGTGCACCTGAATAGCCAGATTTCAGGCATTGGATTATTCCCATGTGTCCTCTACATTTGGAAATGTCATTGGCTCACAGGTAGCTGGGAATTCTACAGAAATTTGCTAGCTAGCAAAGACATTGTCCAACTGAGACCCAAACTGGGAACATTTCATTTAATAAAGAAAAAGCATCACTGGTCACTGCAGAATCCAACGTGTTAACACTTAGACTCATACACACTGTTTCCATACTCCAAAGTGGTGTCCCAGTCTGTTTGTAAACCTCGGCTTTTCAAGATAAGCTTCAGTTATGTGGCGTTGCTGCATTTTATAATAACCAAATAACCAGCCATAGCAATTCACCGCAGGGTGAAATGTGGCAGGAGAGATAGCCTCATTCAGAAATATGTTTCCTTTGCCTTATACCAAATAGGAGCCGGGAGAAAATCCATTCTCTTGTTGTTATTATAAGATCTTAAGTAAGAATGAGCAGAAGGAAGTAAATCTTTCAGGGACAAAAAGACTTTGGGGCATGTGTATGTGCTGTCTTTCTAGACAAACATGTATGTTTATACATGTTTACATGTTTATGTTATACACTCATTTGTATATTCCATTGCCTACTTGATAGTCCTAGTGTGTCAGCTAGAGTTTTTGCAAAGAATCAGTTAATCTTTAAAATACTTTGTATTTCTAAATTTTATCTTCATTATTTTTAATAAGGCCTTTCTTTTTTATATATTTACATTATATGAGGACTGACATGATGTCAACTACTACACAGTTTTCTAACCACTCTTAGCAGTAACTATGCATCTGACCAGAAAGTGTAATATTGATATTATGTGCTGTGAATTTGCTATGCTGTCTAGGATAACAGAATACATAAAAAGGGGGGGGATTAAAGAATTACTTGGTACAGGTGATGTAGATTTGAGGATAATCTTTTTACATCTAAATGCTCCTCAAATTAAATCACAGATATTTTCCTCATCTGAATGTACTTTCATTAATTCATGTTTTTTTCCTCTGTAGCTTCCTAAAGCCATAAATTTCTTGTTAAATAGTCACAGTAAGATATTACCAAATCTTTGATTTAGAAAAATGTGTTGAATTTGAGATTTAGCCAGCGAATGCCTTTTTCCTTGACTAATATTGAATGAATGATGAATACATTCTTAAAGAATGACTGACTGAATGGATAAGTTCATTAACACACTGTGATGACACTACGTTGAGGAATTCCACGTTCTATGACATATTTTCATTCCCACCCTTCCTTAGCTCACTGATGTCCTTGTTAATGAAATTCTCCACGGGGCTGATGGAACCAGCATCAAGTGCGGCGTTATTGGGGAAATCGGTTGCTCCTGGCCTCTGACTGAGAGTGAAAGAAAGGTCCTCCAGGCAACAGCCCACGCCCAGGCTCAGCTTGGCTGTCCTGTTATCATTCACCCTGGAAGGCATGCAAGTGCACCCTTTCAGATTACCCGAATATTGCAAGAAGCAGGTATAGACATCTCCAAAACAGTTATGTCGCACCTTGATAGGTAAGCAGATTATGTACAAATGAGAGCAAAGCACCAGATAATTATGGATGATTAGATGGGTAGGGGACAGCAAAAAACATCTGTTGCTGACTCTACACACAGATGTTGTCTGGAGTTAATGTTATGAAAAGCCTAACAATGCTGCAAAGGCTACACATGAGCCTTTACCTGGATTGAATCGATTAGGGAATTAGCACAGTCACAGTGTGGCTAATAATACACTGCAGTTACTTCCAAATTGGGATTCCTGGGTATGAGGATGTGTGTTTCATTGTTTCTGGAAAACCTCAGTCCTTGTCTCTTCAAACATTGCTTCATCCATATTTTCCTGTATATTTGTATCATAAACACCCACTTGCTGTATGTAGGGTCTCATTAGCTGTCCTCCCTGTCTCATAACATCTTCTTCCTATTTCTGTCCATTTACATCTTTGAACTGTAGTTTCTTCAATTCTATCTTCCTATTTAATACTTCTCTCTCCAGTGAAAGCAGTCTGTTGCTTAGACTATCAATTTGGTTTATAATACTAAGAACTATGATTTTTTCTTTATTTCTCTAAGTTCTCTAATTTCTTGAAAAGTAAGAAATTACTTTTCAAGTCTGCTTTGTTAATTTTGAGATTTTTTTCCTTTAATATGTTTTCAACTTGTGTTAAAAAATATTATGCATAGAATGTTTACCTTATCATTAATAAACCAAATTTCTATTTTATTTTTTAAACTCTAGTTTTATAGGTTGTTGATTCTTCTGGCTCTTATTCATATGCGGTTATTTTCCTGTATTTAAAACAATTTACATTAATTTTTAGGTTCCTTGGAAATTATTTGGAGTCTTGAGTTGATTATAGGTAGTTAGGGGGCTCTGCTAACCTGGTATTACTTTAATTTTTTTATGTATAAATTGTGGTAAAATACACATAACAAAATCTACCCCCTAGCCACTTAGAAGCAGGAAGCTCGGTAGTGTTGTGTACATTCACGCTATGGTGCGGCCAATCTCCGGGACTCTTCGCCTTGCAAAACCGGAACCCTACACCTGGTACACAGCAGCTCCCTAGTCCCTCTGCCCCAGGCCAGGGCAACTGCTATTCTCTCGTCTGTCTTCAACTACTATAGGTACCCATCCAGTAGAATGAGATGGTATTTGTCTCCTCTGTGGCTTTTAAAACTAAACTTTTGGCTTGGAGAGTTTAGAGCCTCATAGATGCTATGAATTCTGGCCCCTAAACTCAGCGAGTGCAGGCTTGTGGCTCTAGATTCTCAGAGGAGATGTTTTTCTCAACCTGCCTCCCTTTTACCTGAAGTCTAAGAAAGACATAACCTCATAAGACTCCCTCTGTGGGCCAGTTTTTAACTAGTCCTTCCACGTGGGTGGTTTAGATGAGAGGAACACTTCCTGTATGTGCTGGCTGAGAGGCTGCGTCTCCCATTTGCCTCCTGCAGGACTCTGGCCCGTTAAACTCCCCAGACAGTGGTAGCTCTGGGCTCCCCTCACTTCTCATTTTGTCTGCTCTATTGTTTCTGCCCCTGAGCAAGTCCTTCACTTTCCCCCCAGCTGAACCAAGCATTTAAAAGTATCTTTCCCCCTTTCATTGTTGAGTATTTTACTTATACTATCATGAAAGGTTTTCTGTGGACGTTTAGTCTGCCGTGATGTCCGAAACTGGTTCACAGTGATTCCTAAGGAAGAGTCTTACTAGCCTATGTGTTCATAATTAGACAGGTAGGTAAGGTAGAAAGTCATGGTTAGCACTAAGAGAAAATGAGTTTCCACTGGAAATTGTGAAACAACCTTAACTCCTAGCACAGTAGAATTTCCTTGCTCATAGAATCAAACAATAAATGTTTATTCCTTGCCATAAAATCAATACAAAATCAATATATATATGTATATCCCTTGCTCATAAAACCAAACAACATATATATGTATCCATATGTGCATATATACATGTACATACATTTTCTTTTAAATAATGCTCAGGACACATTGAGATGGAGAAATTGATCTGACATCAGACAAGCTCTGAGCATCCTAGAAAGCCCTGAGGACATTTCTAGAACAGCCACTCATTCTGTGTCTATACTAGGGATTATTCAGGGTTCCAGTGCCTGGCAAAGAAATATATAGAAGGATGAACATTTCAGAGGAGAGGCAACTGGTGCAAATGGCTTTAGAAAAAGTAGCACACTTGGAAAAACAAATTAAATAACGTAACAGAAAAAATTAATCAGGGAGGCAGATGCTGGCAACTTTAGCCTTTTGATGTGACTGTTCACAGCAAGACAGTTGCTGGGCCGAAGCTGGACCAGGTCAGCCTTTCACAGACGCGCCGAGGTCTGTGGGCTGCACGCACAACCTGATCTTTACTGAAAGGGCAAGGGCTTCAGCTTTACAATGGCGAAGAATCACAAAAGGGCATGTATTTCATGCAGCAAATGCACAGATGACACACAAAAAGAAAAGCATCCTGAAAACAAGGCCCCCAGAAAAAAAATCATTTTGTTCCTCCCACCATGTTTTTTCAGGCACAAAGGAGAAGGTTCCGAAGCCACAGGCTGTTGTTACTGTGACGTAGAAGTCCAGGCGCTGGCTCTGCCCTGCAGCCCCTTTCTAACGCCCAGCTTTCCAGCAGGGCTGACCTGGACTACCTGTAAAATTGTTCGGTTCCTGTCATTTGAGAATATGAAATAAAGTATTCTGGGATGTCCACATCACATTGAAGCAATTAAATGTTTTTTGAAAATATGTAAATCTTCCCCAGCATTCATGCCTAAGACATTTTGCCTTAAAAATGCATGCACGGACACGCCCCACCCAGGAACACACACACACACACACAAGAGCAACAACAACAAACTGCTGTACGCCTGTCAGAAAGGAGCACTTGGGGCTGTGAGAGGGAAGAGTTAACTTCCCTTAGGACACCTCTGAACCACACTGTTGTCATGTGACCATGTGTGACCTGCTTAAGGTCATTTACCTGGAGATAACAGCCTGACAAGACAAATCGGCTTCTGCGTCTGGGCCCTCCCCTCACCATCTGTTCTCCCTGAGAAATATGGGCCCGTGGCAGTGCCCGTGGACTGCTGCAGATTTAACCCTAGGGAACCTCGGAGGGGGCTGCCCTTGACAGGTTTAGCCACCCAAAGTCAACATTTATCGGAAAATAACACCAGTATATCTATTCCTGTTTGGGCTCTTAATCTACGAAGGCTTTATGCCTTTTAATCCTTTACTATAATTTTACTACCTGTTAAAACCCTACCCACATTTCCAGGTGGCATGTGATCACAGCAGGGCCTCTGCCCTGGCCTAATAGGGGCTCTCTGTGATCTGAGAATATACCCCAGAGATAGTCTTTTTGTGATTCATCTCCAAGGAAGTTTTATCCTTAATATTCTATCCAGTCGCTGTAGGTGTTGTATCACAATACAATTCTTTCATATCCGAGGAAAGTTGGGTAAAGCCACAGGGCTGGCAGGTATTTGGTTACTAACCATTTACTGATTACACACTGAGCCCTGGACAAGGCGCCAGGCAGATGTTGTGCCTCAATCTGTTTTCTACTTGGTTATCTATTTAATAAACTAAAGGGCGTCCATGGAAGTCTAAGGCCTAGCATTTGAGGAGGGACACAATGATAATGAACTTCAGGAATATACCACATCTTTTGTCTTTGAAAATTGCTCCCTGTGGAATTTGACCCAAGGGTTTCTTGACAAAGGAGAAGGGGAGACACAGATGATGGCCTAATAACACATTTTATTCTCTTTACACTTGATTACCCATGCCAAATCCACCCAGCTCCTAAAGGATACAATTTTGACACATTCTTCATGCTCTCAATTAGATGAAGTGAGTGGGAAATCCCTTCCTCCCTCCCTCCCTTCCTAACCTCCTTCCTTCCTTCTTTCCTTGCACAAATATTTATTGAATGCCTAATCACCATAAACCAGACAATGGGAGTTAGCAGGGAGCAAGTCCCATTCTCTGCCTTCAAAATGATCATTTAATTATAATTATGGTGACTCTTAACCTTAAGTTTTTCTTTGAAAAGTCACAAAAAATGATTATCTGGTATCCTTGGAACTGTATACTTTTAATTCCTATGAGTACTAGTAAAATAACAGGAAATACTTAAAAAAAACAATTCTAGGCAAATATTTGACAAACTTAAATTGAGCAAAACATCTTTATATATCTAAATAGTATGGTAGCACTAAAAAACAATTGGACTATTATGCATGTGGCATGGTTTAAACATTTAGAATTCTGTGCATATGGCGCTGTACTTCTTGGCGGTTTATTATTGGGACCGTGTATATGCATGCATTGTGTGTATAGTGTATAGTGTGTAATGAAAGAGGTGATGTGCATTGTACAGTATGTACACTGTGCACAATAAGTACAGTAAAGGCAGCGTGTCTAGTCATATCCGCTCAGATGCAATCACAGAATGAGAAATTAAAGAAATTAATTCAGGCAACAAAGCAGGGAGGGACCTGAGAAGAAAGTGAATTGTTTTCAAAGAAAATATTTACTAATAACCCTTCCCTTTTCCCATGTACCAATGTCCACAGGCGTTTCTTCTTTTATCATGCTGGTGGATGGTCAGAAAATATTAAAGTGGATTATTTTAAACATGTAATTGTGGCTACTTGTATATGTAGTTGGGTATGACTGTGGCCACATTTCACACAAAAACCTACACTGGTTTGCACAGCGCTCACGGACACAGAAAGGCAAACCCCTAATGCATTGCAGGTTGAAGCGTGTGAAGACATGGGCAGCAGCTATGCTTTCATTAATGCAATGGCCAGTCTATGTCAGAAGGGGACAGTGAGACGCAGGGGGGTGTTGGGGTCACGATGCCTAATTCTAGTTCTTACTTGCTGCGTGACCTTGAGCAGGGCACTTAATCCTCCCAGTCTTTTGCTCATCTGTCAATGCAGGTGAAGAAAAATTAATTTTAACCGTTTAACTGTTATGCATATTTCTC